ATTCAGTTGACCGGCTCTACCGTAGGCGGCCAATTCCGAATGCAGCTTTCCATTCCGATTTACAATGATGCGTCATTCACGTAAGCGGGCTTTTGAACATTTTCTAATTCGTTTTGCTTAAACCATCATGGTCTCCTGTATTTGGTATAGGTCTCTTTACTGAATTCAACTTCAATTACAGAGAAGCGAAGCAGCTCAACAACTTGTTTCTGCCAGCATTCTGGATTGGAATTGAAGTAGTGATGAGGGACTACGCCCATAACTACATTTATTTCAATACAAAAGAGTTGCCGAGTATAATTCTCGGGATCGGCATTGGATGTGTGGTTGCGTCAGCAGTTGCAGCGCTGACTTGGGTGTTCTTCAAACTTCGATCACGACGTAATCGAGCTGGTGTCCATTTTGAGGCCGTGGCGCGTAGCGAACTATGGACTAAATAAAATTTATTTATGTACTTCGCAATAGATGGAATAGAAGCTTGTGGTAGATGTATATGTTGATTTTTCAGAATGCTTTACACATTGTACGTGTCAGCCAAAATCTAGAACTTCTCAAATAATGATATCAAAAAGAACGAATCTGTATGTTTTCTTCCTCTAACACCTTCAAAGCGTACTAGATGTTGGAAGAAATAATTTTTTTCCAACGCGAATAAAAAAAATCAATAAAAAATGAGCCGGAAGAATCTCACTTTCAAAAATGTGAATCACCTTCTTTTGTTGCATTGAATTAGAGTTTTCAGTTATTAAAAGAGCTGTAACTAAAGAAAGCCGACCTTTGATTAACTCAGTTGAATTTGATTTTTCCATACTGGCTTTCGCGCTGCTGCAAAAACAACTCCCTCATTTTGAGGGGCAGTGAGCTCTCTGAGAGTTGGTTGAAAGCGACCTTGTCCCGAAATGAAGGACTTATGAGAGCTCTGTAGTAGATGCGTAGTTCAACTGACGTGTTTTCGTCGCGGTTTTAAGCCACTGGGTGGAGGACTAATTATCACCAACAGGCTCGGACTTGATGTAACTACTGTAGGTATGAAAGCCCTTGATTAGACTGAAGAATTTCAAGTTAGGCTGACAAACTCATGAGGATCCTCCTTTAAGAGGAATTTTCTGTTTTCTAGGAAACATGGAATGGAACAGTTGTCCGGGAGAGCGGGGCCTTGGAAGTAAATAGACCTCCATTGGAAGCCGTTTAGTAGACATGCAAAAGTTTTTCTTGAACCAAACGATGAAACTGTACTTGAGATGCCATTTGTAATATCAATCTTATAGATCAAGTCATAATAATTTTTCAATCAAACGACGAAATTAAGCGAATCTCTGCATTCAGCATCAAACGATTCAAAGTTCTGAATATATCATTTCGCGCAGTGAAATCTGCGAGAACTATCTGGACAATTTTATTTCTAGTTTGATAATCTTCGTTTTGTGCCTTTGTAAAGTTTCTGCGGCTTGTCTAGCTCTTCTCCTCTTTTTTTTGAATTATATGCGAAAAGGAAGATCACCTGCGACTCTATATGACAAAAAATATCAGCGCATGCAATTTTGGCGTTACGAACGACTCAGGAGCAACATTATTTGTTGTTACAAAACATATTTATATGAGATTCTAAGAATTATACACTTCCAGGTTTGCTCAGTGACAAGTAGTTTTACTCTATCCGCTGGTTCAAAAAAAACTCTGGACGAGTGTGTGATAAAAAATGGCCTGGTAATAAAAAACCAATATTAAAAATGTACCAAAATTGATAAATTCTAATCTCGGTTCCAAATTTGCTATCAGATAGCCGAAATACTCAGCGTTATTAAGCGTTGACTCTAATTTGTAGGGGTTAAATTTTATAAACTGCTGTAAGCTGTGCACGCGCAAAGTTCAAAGAAAACCGATCTTTCTTGGAAATTTCACGACTCTCCTAAACACATGCAGATTAACTGTCCAAAGTGTCACCTTTGTTACAGCGAGTAATGCGAGAAGTAATGTCTACAATCGCAGGCGATTAGTTTATTCAACTTCCACTAAAAAATTTAAAAAAAAAAGCAAAGCATTCATGAGCACGTTGTTATCTATAGAATTTTTTTCCACGCTAGTATTCTATGACGCGTCCATCTCAAAGTTTATGTATATCTTTTCAAACTCAGGAAGAAAGCTCAAAACGATCTGAACTAGTATTTTTAAAGCTCAATAATATATAGGTTCTTTTGCGAATCTTAAAACCATGAAATGAATGTTCTAAGGCTTTCTGAAAGTTTCTAGGTCAGAAGTGATAGAAAAGTGCAGCCTTATATAAATGCTATTTACGGCTCAATCACTAGATGCAGCCCAAATGCCTATTTCAAATATGCCTTTCACATCTCTTACATCAGTTTCCAAAGGAAGTTATGAAAGTGATTTTCTGTGAAGTATAGATATACGTACTACCACTAGCTCGAATATTCGGAAATTAGCGAACGTTGAAATCTTAGCTTTGGTTGTAAAGTCTAGGCAACAAAT